TAAATGTTTCTGCAAAGTCTTTGATGTTTATTGATCCATAGGCTAAAGTATTCGGTTAATGGTTATTTGAATCCAATTTATCCGTGCTAAGCTTACGTCTTCCTGCTGATAGTCCTCTGAAAAATTTACTTTTTAGGAAAGCCAAATTTACGTGTATCTCTCTTCATTATGCAGCACCACCCGTTATCGGATTCTTTTGTGGGTGATAGTGTGACCCAGGCCAGGTCGAAATTGTAGTCCACCCCGGATGAGAACACCTTTAAGGAAAACAAGGCTGTGCGAAATTCAATGGAAGCGACTGCTCTATTCATATCATTTTTGGAAATTTAAGCTACTAGTTTTTTACCACCCTAAAAGAAATGGGATGAATATCCTTCATATATCTGCAATTTATTCCGGATTTTAATTTTTAATTTATATTAAAACACACTTATGAAGATTTAGGCCTCTCCTTAATGGCTATTTTCATTCAACTTGAGACACTTAAATCTATTTTCGATTTATCCTACAACTTACTTGATTATTGTATCGAAGATTTTTACTTTTTCTACGTTTTAGCTAACCTCCTTTCATCTATCCATTCTAGATGATGATTAGGTGTGCCTTTTGGGATCTTATGTCTAAAGGTGATCTTGATACAGATGCTAATGGCAATGCTGGAAGAGCATCTGCAATTCTCATCATGGTTTTCAACTTCCACTTATCCGTCATAAAGGTAAGGATTTTCATTCGGGTCTTTTTTATATAATAAAATATTTTATCCAAAGCACCACTAAAGCTGACATTCGTAACTTCCTAAATGCATGCGTTCTTAAAGATTGTTTATTTTATGTGTATACTTAGTTGCCTGGCCCTCCTATTATTGTACAAGTTACCTTCTAGTTAGTTGGTGCATTGGCTACAATGACTTTCTCTACACTGACTCATAAAATGAGGAATTTGCGGCCTTATTGCTATTTTACGGCCTTGATCGTCTTTCGAAGGCATACATTTACAAATAAGTCTTTTATTTGGCCTGACAATAAATTTGCTCTTCTTTTTAATTTTAGAAATATTCTTTCGGTGATGTTTCTGATAAAAATGTGGCCTTTCTCTATTGTCTTATTGACGAAATTAGCAAATTCGACTATCCTTCTGTCCGACGGACACTTCTCGACTTTTGCAGCAAATTTCCTCGACTTGGCCAGAATCTACGTATCTTCATGCGAAGGCATTTTAAAGAAGACACTGATTTATCTCGTAAAAATTTTATCATGCGGCTTATATTGGAGATGCGAGAATGTGAACAATTTTGATAACCACTTAATGACACAAACAATGGCTTTGCTTATAAATAGCTATAATTGCTCACAACGGAAGCTGGCTTATTCCAAGAAAACGTTTATCAAGTTATTCGCAGACTTTATTACGATTTCCTCTTTTCGTGCATGGATCTTCGACCGATTCTCCACTTATTTAACCACGTTTTTAAGATATTCTGGCGTTAAAACTGAAATAAGTATTCGATTTTGCTTAAACAAATCATATTTATTATCGAAGGTGTAAAGACTAAGATGACATGGCCCTTATTTTGTTCGAAGTCTTCTTTCGTTTCATATAAGTGATTTTACCTCGTTTTCCCAACTTAGTCGTGCTGTCTGCTTGACTCGGATTCTCCAGAATCCTTTCTCATAATAGTGACGATAATTTCCAGTGTCGGACCTACATCCTAGATGATTCAGCTTCTTTATTGTCGGCCATAGTATTGATA